GGTTTGGCAGCCTGGATGGCGAGGGCTGACAGGGAGGCCTGTGGAGCCCCACAGGTTGGAGGCACTTAGGACCCCACCTGGAAGGTCGGTTCTGCATCCATCTCCCTGAGCCTTTTCTCTCTCCATGGGCCCCTCTGTGCGGCCGCGGCGCTAAAAGCTGCTAGAATTAGCAGGGCTGAGAACCGTCCTCAGGCGCCAGTACGAGCCTCGCTCTTGTTTCCTGCTCGAAAGAAGACACCTCGTTACCCAAGTTGGGAGGACACTCTGTGCCATCTGCTCTTGGCCCCTTGGGTCCCAGAGCTGCTTCTGACACACAGGCTTTTTCACAGCCCGCCGCACATGGCTACTGGCCATGAGGCGGTGATGGTGCCTGGCACACAGATGTGGCTGGTGCCTGAGAGGCTTGAGGTCGGCCCCAGGGGAGGGGCCTTGGCCTGGGCCCAGCACACAGTCCTCCAGTGTCCCAGGGAGGCACCACTCAGAACCAGAAGATGAAAATGTTTGGCTCTGGGGGGGAATTATGCAAATTATCTACCTGGTTTCTGTGTTTGAAAATACCCAGATGTTGGCTTCCAAATCAGAAAGCTGTCTTGGGGCAATCTCTATTCCCTGTCTGGTTCAGGTGGTCCTTTCTACAAACACTGGAGACCGGGTTTTGACTGTCAGCCTCCTGTCTGGCCCTCCCCAGCAACGTCGCTAAGCCAGAGGGCTGGCCCTCCCCGTCCACCTTCTCCAGGACAGGCTCCATGCCGACCACAACCCACCAAGCCACATAGAGGGCCATACTCCCCACTTCCTGCAGCGCCCAGATCCACCCAATGCTGTACCCACCATGCTGGGCTGATGCCTCAGGCTGAGCTGAGATCAGTCTTGGTGTTCTCCCTTCTTCCTGCTTCAAAAAGTGGGTGTCTGGTGTTTTCCCCTGAGGTCCTCATGAGCCAGATTTAGCAAACCTCCGCTCAGAAGCCTGACCCTTGGAGAATGCCCCCTAAGGAAAAGACTGGTCCGCGGTAACCTGTCTCCCCTTGCCTCCTCCCTGCCTCAGTTGCATAGATTCGTGGTTTGAAGTGAACAGATCTTGTCCAGAACATCCCGCGGACTGACCCTGCTGGGCTCGCTTGCTGACTCCTCTCAAAGGTGAGCCCGTGGTTGGGGATGCTCCGGGCTCAAGGCACTGGGGCCAAGTCACTCTGGGGCCTGGAGGGTAGGGAGCTCAGTTGCCCTTGCACACCCCACCAAAAGGGGAGCATCTTCTTAGTTAGTGATTCTATGGGGGGCAGGGGGGCGGGGGCTGGTATGATTCTCCGGAAAGGATAGGAAATACGAACTCACAAGGTAACGAAGGAGAACCTGCTCAGTAGAATTAGAGTCGTTGGGAAAAGACCAGTGTATTCCAGACATCTAAATTGAGTCTCCCTGACGAAGGTTCAGAAAGATCCCATGGAATGTGCCGGCTGGGAGAAGCAGCAGCGTGAGGCTCTAGGACCAGACCCTGGGTTGGCGCCCTGCTCCGCCTCGTGCTTGAGGGGTGGCAAGGGCGAGTCCTGTCTCTCGGGGTCTCTGCTTCTTTGGGGCCAGGGGGATAACCTCACTCCCTGTCCCCATGTGGACATCCCGCTTATTAAACAAGACGTCCTGGGGGACGGTGCGCTGTCCTCTGCGGTGCTCACCGTGATGATGTCACTGCTGGTTCTTCCCACCTGCAGGCCACTTGCCTCTCCCATGCTCACTCTCTCACACACTCACACTCACACTCACACACACTCACACTCACACAGCCCGCTTCCAGATGCATCTCTGCGGCAGGCCGGCGCAGCCCTCCCTACCAGATGTGCACACGTGGTCCCTCTCTAACCACGCAGCCCGACTCCCCGGCTCTCCCCCAGGGCACCCTGCTCCCCTGCTGACCGCCCTGCCCTGCCCCCCGTCCTACCTGCCCCTGCGAGCTCTGGGCTGGCACTCTCTTTTTTCTGGCAAATGAACAAAACCCGCCAGAGAAACCAAAACCCTGACTCCGCCTCATCTCACATCCAAAGGTTTTGGGGCCTCTTTTCTTTTCCCTCTCGCTCGCTCTCGTTTTTCTTTGTTTTGTTTTCCTTCGTTCTTCATTAGGTTTATTTTATTTATTCCAAGTAAACTCCCAGAACAGCTGATGATGTCAGACAAATCAGGGACATTTGCTCTTTTTACCTTCCCCTCAAAAACTGAGGACTCGGGGAGAAGAAAAAGCAAGGGTGAGAGTGAGGCAGAGGGACTGGGCCGGCGCCGGAGCGGGAGCCCCAGCCCCCGCGGGACGTCGGGCTTCGGGCGCCAGAGCGGAGCCACAGACGCCCGGCCGGCCTCGGCGGGATGCACGCGGCCGCCCTCGGCCGCCAGAGCGCGACTTACGTGTTCCGGTCCACACAGGGACAGCCAGCCCCCGTTCCTGGGAGGAGGCATCGGACACGGGCAGAGCTGAGCTGGGGACACCGGTGGGAACAGGGCACCCCTTCTGCACTGACTTCCAGAGAATGGTTCTCCCTTTCTCCCTGAGGACACCAAACTGGATGAGAGCGAGTTTGAGAGAAGAATCCACTGCTATCCTTCCCCTCACCCCTCATCCCAGGAGGGAAAGGGCATTTTCTTTTACACCTTTCAAAGGCGTTGTGGGTCTGTCTAAAGTGTTTACAAAAAAAAAAAATTATAAAAAAAAAGTCTAGTGTCGACTGGTGTTTTCCCTCGTGATGTTTACAGATTGCCGTCTGCCGCCCGGCTAGAACCCACTCAGTGACAGAGACGAACGGGGCTGCGCGCACGGGCTCCTCCTGTGCCCAGCGCCCTCCTGTCGGCCCTCTCTATCACCGACCACTCTGCCTTGGGTGGTTTTTTGTTTTGTTTTGTTTTTGGGTTGTGGTTGTTTGTTTGTTTCCTCCATTTTTCTGGCTTGGTTTTGCACTTTTCTCCCCTTGGGACCCTGATATGTAACTTCATTGCCAAAAAAACAACCCATCAAGGATCTTCTCCTCTCCATTCCCTTTTCCTCTCCCTCCTTCGCTCCTGGTTCTGGTCAGTTCAGAGGATTTAACAATCACAAGTGTCCTGCAAAAATGCCTGAACATTTTTCTTAGACCCTTGTGGATTTTTTTTCCCGGAAAACTTAAACAGATAAAAGACTTATTAAAGGAATATGTACAGTT